TGGAAATCCTCGAGCCGAGTTTGCGTTTGGAGCCGCATCTTTCTCTGTTCGAAAGGATGTTGTGTTGTCTAACAGGATCGATGCATCACAGCCCTATACAAACAAAAATTATGTGTTCACTAATTAATTAGTCAACATATATTGAAATCATAATGATATATAGTTTTTTCTTTTCATGATGACATATTTAGTATACCTACAAAAAGTGTTAGATTGCATTTTCATTCAATAAAAAGGTTTGTTCTTTTTAAGCAACGCGTGGTGATATAGTGTAAACAAGTTAGTATACATTTTAGTTTACATTATATTAATCTTCTAACGCATAAATTCAACATTATGTTTTAGGTTAACAACTACATCGATCTGATCAACTTCCCATAAATAATACACGATTTATATAATATGTTAATATGTTATTTTGTAACATTCAATAAATGATTGATATAAACTCCTAACGTGTTTGGTACAGTACGGGTCCATGCTTTTCTTAAATTATTATACGGATAATTTACGTTCGTTGAATGGGAGATCAAATTATACTAAATGTTGTGAAATCATGTTTTTAAAAGGCATGAGTCATATTTGACGACAAGAGCTAAGATACTCGATAGTAAAAAACAAAAATATCACATCTAACTACCGTAAATTTTATATTGATATACATACCAGAGTGGTTAATTAGCCCAGTGACCTATAAGTGTGGTAACATATACATATTGGTCTAATTAATAAAACTGAGATTTATCTAGTTGGATCCAAATTTAAACAAAAATAACTAGACTAACACCTAAAGGTAGAAGAAACTTAACATGTCCCAATATTGAAGCAAAAGACCAAAAACCCATTTTTGTTTTTCTAAATAATTTAAAAAAAAGAAGATAAATCTGTCGTAATAAGCTTAACCCTGATTTTGAAACAAATCTCTCATAACCTAAAATATTAAGCCACAAAATTTAAGCGTTTGGTAAAATGATATTGAAGTTTCAATAGGAATCTATCAATTAAAATCTGTAACCATTGAACAAACTTATATTTAAAAATTTGCCAGTGGCAACTATAAATCTATCATCATTGGATTCAAATATAAAAGATTGTCATTAAACGTCATATTTTTGTTATTATTAAACAAATATATCACCTAAAACAAATCTGTTATAACTAAACATCATTCTAATCATTATATTATTTTTATATTAGACAAATCTTTTACCATATGGCAGATTTATGTCACAAATAATAAGTATAACATTACTATTAAAAAAAAATATGTCACGTAATATAATAAATCTATCAAAATTATAAAAGTCTGTGGGACAAAATAGTCTCACAAAATAGATATATCGCAGCAAATGAGTTTGTGGTAGAAAATATATAAATTTATAACAAGTAGATCCACATACTTTTTTCATTGTAGTTTTTTTTTGGAAAATATTTTTCTACGATGGAAAAGTTTTGAAATATATTTTTGACTTTTGTCATTCATATAAAAGATATTTAAAGAATTTCTATATAAAAAAAAGTTTTTTAAAAGCATGAATGTAACACAATTAACCTTTACAATTTATGAGATAGTTTAGTAATTAAACCATTAATTTTGGGTCATTCTGATTTTTTCCCATAATAATTTATGTAAATACTAAAGCCCTAAACCACGTGTTTCCATTTTGTAGTTATCAACAAACCATGTGTTATTTAAAACTGACAAAGACGTAACTGGTTTTTCTTGAGTGGCGCTATTATCCCATATTTATCAGAAATCAATTATCATAACTACAAGCCTATCAAATCTGAAAATTAGAGTAACTTGATAACACAAATAGTTAGAACGAATACTAACGTAACTATAAAAATTTGAAAAGGGAGTCTTTGATGTAATTATAAAAGATTTTTCTTTCTTTCGTTAAAGGACGTTATTGTAAAAGATACTGACATATACAATTTCAAACGAAAAGGTATTTCAAATTGTATATCCAAAACATAAAAGGTGAAAAATTAATATCTTACATTGACGAAACAGTCGTGGAAGTGAAGACGAAGGATGCTTGCAGCGATACGAGGATCCGATCGTAGCTCGTTTACTATGGTATCCCGTACGATGGTAAAGACGCTTGGACATGTATTGTCATAGAAAGTTGGGGTTAGCTGAGCACTGGAAATGGATGAATGAAGCAGAAGACAACCCAATGTCATTAGGGTTGTCCAAGTTGACAAGGAAGAATAAGAGAAATTCATTTCTATAAGAAGAAACCTCTTTAGTTGATTTAGTTTGAGAAGATGAGGAAACTCTATATCTTCAAGGATCCTTTTATAGGGGAATGACCGAATGGGTCCATAACATTTTGTGAACTAATTCTATTGTTATATTTTTATTTTTAACAACAGCTATTTCTAATAATTATTTTTAATAACCTACACTGTAAAATTTCATTCAAAAAATAATGTATACACTGTATATCACCACTAACTTTTTTTTTAATTGTATATTAACACTAAACAATATTAATAGATCCCGAATTCCGGATGATAAAAAGGATGAATCATCTCTTGGTTTATAGGACGTATGCTGTCTACATAAATCCAAACATTAATTAACGACATAAATATTAGTAAGAATTTCATAATGCCTACATTCATATACATCAACATTTACATGCATCGATTAGTGATTTATTTCTGTACACCTAAAATATATAATTATAGTTATGAATATAATTGATGAGATAACATAATTAAAATCATCTTTCGAAATGTATCTTTGAATTTCATAGATAATTGAAAAATATTTGACTCACTAAATTAAAACTAAAATTGAAATTAGCAAAATGGAAGTGTGGAAAATAAATATAAAAATATATTGTATATGCTTTAACATGAATATATTTTAGAGTCTAACTTCTAGCAACGGAACAAGAATATCAAACAACAACAAGTGTGGTTACAAAATAAAAAGAATCACAAATCGTCTAGAACCCAATTTAAATCGTGATTATATAAATGTGGTTTCAGTATAATAGTTTTAAGAATTTTTTTATAAAACATTCTTAAAGCTTCGTGCAACTAAACTTTTTGTCTTCAACTATAACTTACTTATCGAAGAGACAAATTCTTTCTTACCTAAATTATTTTATTCGTTAAAATTTCTTTTTTGAAAATATATATTAAAGTTACTTTTTTAGGGATTAAATAAATCGCTAATTGTTTATATGTTATATATAAGTTATTGAGATGACAAACAAAAAAAGTTTCTTTATTTTCTTGCAAATAAGTAGACTTGTCAATCGGGGTAACTTAGTTCGACCTCGCTAAAAACTCTTAAAACCAAATATATTTGGTTCGGTTCGGTATAAAAATATTTAATGCTTAAATTTTAAAATCCGGTTCTTACATGGTAGATAGGTTTCTTTATTTTTTTTTTGGAGATTCCCTTTGACAAAAAAAAAAACTTTTAAGTTTATAAATTTTTTGATATAAATGTTTTTTAATAAAATATCTTGAAAACAGTGAATCTATATATAAAATGAGCAAATGAAACCACTATCATTCATTAAACACAACTTAATTCAAAAACAAAAGTTTTAACCAATTTATATTGTTTAAATTTATATTATGTTTCAAGATGTATAAATTATATAATGTGTCACTGACGATATATAGAGTATCTAAAATATGCATCAAAATGGTTGTTAATATGAAACTTTTTTCCGATTCTATGTATGCACCGTGGCCGTGGATAGTCAGTCAACGGTCTTAAAATAGTTGTTAATATTTGCGACTAAACAAATATCGTCGCAATTTTCTTTAGTACATATAACACGTATCTAAAATAGTGCATTTGTAAATAGTGTTTTTTTTTCTTCTTAAAACTCAAACTATAATAAGTCAATTAAGAATGGAGTCCAGAAAGACAGCTTAAACTATTGTTAAATTTCAATTAGCTATCTAATTAGGTGAACGGTTTCAAATTTTTTATTTATTTATTTTTGTACATTTCCTCTTTTCCCGGCGATGGAAATTTGAATTTCTATTATAATGTCAAAGTGACAAGTTTTCGCCTTCTTCACGTTAGCATATTTTCTTTGTTTCTAGCTGCCCATTAGATATCGTGGAATAATGAGCAATTGACTTTGGATTCTTGATGAAACTATTAGGATGAACAAAATATTTATCTATAGAAGACAATATATTAGAAGATCTGAGAACCGTAATAACGAAATTAGTTCTCTTTCTTCTGTCGTTCGGAAATATAATCGAAACATCCTTACGTCTAACACAAATCTCTGTGGTAAAGATAACGAATTTAGCGACTACAAATTTGAGCATTATATCCTCGCGAAATCTCTATGACAAGATAACGAAAGATTGCGCCGGTGTTATGGGGAAGAGAAAGATTTTGCCAAAAAAAAAAATGATTATAGAGATATTTCTCGGTTTATGGAAGTAGCAGTCGTATGTGTTCATGTATTTATTACCGCAGTAGAGTCGTTGTCCAGACCAAAAAACAAAGCCACCATAAAATTTCTGAGAACAAGTTAATGTGACGATGATCAGACAATAGATTGGAAGATTCTGGGGAACATTTAAGAGCATCATTTAATACGAGAAGGTACATTATGACTATGATAGTGCATTTGGTTAGAGGAGAGTGGAGAAAAGACGATGAAGGATGTTACGAATATGTCTCCGCTTTGGAAGGTTTTTCGATGGCAGTTCGGCTGACGGAGACAGATGGATATAATAAGGTTGATACCGCGGATACAAACAATATCGAGCTAAGTTACCAGTGACCAAATTTTGACCTTTAAGTTCTTTCCGGGCCTTCTTGTGATCCATGCTATATTACGGGCCCAAGATGATTTGTTCGGACATTTTTTTAGAATATTTTCATGTATCAAATCTCGTTAAGATTAGATGAGGTAGCCCTACATAGCGGGTGGAACCCACGACAAATGGTTCCTAGAATCCGCAAAAAGGATAAATACAATAGCATTGCATGTACTAACGTACGCGACCATACCAGCACTACTACACTGTATCCCATCATAATTCCGTAGTTAAACGCGTTCGGGCGAGAGTAAAACTAGGATGGGTGACCTCCCGGGAAGTCCTCGTTCTGCATCCGTCTTTTTTTTTGGGTTTGAACCATATGACGCCATAAATTTTAGACCGTGAGGCCAAACTTGGCATGTGATACCTTTTCGGAAATCCCAAAGAGAGCCCTCCGACCACCGAAGCAGGACAATCGGTCAAAGTACCATTTTTTTTTTCGACTCCATGATATATTATGAGACCAAATTGATTTGTTTAGACATTGTTTTAGCATATTTTCATGTATCAAACTTGATATAGCTCAAATATCCTTAAGCTTAATCCCTCAAATAAGAGATCGTCGTGAGCACTTAAGGGTCGAATTTCAATAAGCTATCCTTGCTCACACAATAAACCTATGATGATTAATATTAAGCTAGACAAAGTAACTGAAAGTAAAAGACAAGAAAACATTAAATCGAGTTGTAAATTTAGGAAATTAAAGCGTTAGGTCTAGGGATAGTCTCAGGAAATAGATAAACTATAGATCTAGCTATGACAAGGATTGTTATCGAACCGTCACTATTACAGATTAACTGGTGGTTCTCCTCATTACTGACTATGTCTAAAGCTAAGGATTCCCAACGTTGACTTGGCAAAATCCCTAATCCTAAACATGCATGCTAAATAAGTTTGATAAGTTCACCTAAGTAAACATGCCGAGTCTTATTACACACCTATTAACCCGTCTCATCTATAATAGTTCTGATGATAGATGTCTTTTAGGGCACACCTATTATATAAGATCAAGTTTTAGGTGATCAATCTAGAACTAGCAGTTAGAAATATTATAGATGAAAAACTCTAAAATTAATCCTAACAGGTTATCGATTTACTATCCATCTAAATCCCTAATGAGACACCCTAAACCCAACAAGGAGACTACTCGGACATTATTAAAGAAACACAAATCATAATTTGAATAAACTGCATTGAATTATAATATGAAATAGAGTAAAAGGAGTTCAAAATCTTCTCTGTAGGGATATGATTCTTCTCTCTAAAAGTATCTCTCTTACACAAAACTTCCTTAGGTCTAAACAATGACCTTAAAAATATATTTATATATATAGGTTACAAAAAATGTGCAGGGTCTATTTTGCAAATAAGGAAAACTTCTGGGACTTCTTAAAGACTTGATGAAACGTGGGAATTCCTTTGTCGAATAAGGGTGTCGATCGACATAGATGTGGTGTCGATCTACACCATTGCATGAGTAACGTTTCTGGTAGTCTTCTTATAAATGCAAATCTAATTCCCCATCCTCAAATTAGTCCTTCCCAAGGATTGTTGTCTCAATGAATAATTGTAGGAGTTATATCTTGATAGAATTAAAAAAACTACAAAAAAAATCCAGAATTTTGTGATTTCTAGGCTTAAACAAAAGGATTCACAAATAAAAGCGTTAATGCTACAACCAGACAATAAATTGTTAAAGCTTCCATAAAAGCCAAACTAAGCAATAAAGTATGTAACACCTGTCCCGCCATATAGACCAAGACGGCATGTTTTCATCTGATCTTGCCAAAAACGTTTTCTTTGAACTTCACACACGAACAAAATATTGCACACAACTCTTCACGCTTACTAACCTGAGGAAAAAGGAAAAAAGGGGGTGAGTAAAGAATACTCAGTGAGGGGAATTAACTCTGCCCACTGAAACATAGAACACTTTCTAAAGCTATACAACCATCATCATAACATATAAACTTAGACACACACAATCAAACTAACATGCTTTAACTTCTAATACCACATTTATAATAATCATCTTATATATATATATTATATAAACATACACATCGTTAGGTCAAGTCATCCTCGTGACGACTAGAACCTCATGAGTGGAGGTTGGCCCTCATGGCTCAGACACTCATATTCCGGGCTCGTCAGCCGTTCTTGACCAGCTGTTAACCCGTTGGTCCATTACTGTCCACATCACTAGGGAGACCACAGCCCATAGCTCGATTCTCCTCAGTCTTACATACAAACATACATAATCATCATATATACATACTTATACTTAACATTCTCATACATAATAAATCATAGTAAGACATCATCACCATACATGTCAATCAATAATCATCAAATCATAACATCACATCATCTTATCCTACGCAATCAGATCAAAGCCTACATACTATGCGCCAAGAAGCATAACAAAAGAAAATGATAATATGTTTCGCAAATACCACCCTCACCTAAACCTAGTTGAAGATGAAGAACATCTTTATTCTCCTTTCTCTCCTTTTAGACCAACTTACTATAAGAGCTTTAACTGCATACTCTTGAGCTCCACCTTGCTTCTCCATCAACCAAAACCTTACTCCATGAGTCCTAAAGGTTTCTGCAAAGCTTCAGCTCCAACCGAACCCGTTTCCCATTAAAACAATAAAAACTTGTCATGGTTTACTCCATACAAAACTGTCTCAGTAACATACTCATAAGTCGAGAACTAACCGTTAGAAACGTAATCCCACCATTAAATATGTAGCCAGTAGTATCAGATCGGACCTCACATGAATCTCCCACGTTCTTTTGAAGATGTTGCATCAGAACTGATATCTAGGTTTCTGCAACTTGATATGATTTTGGGCAACCTTTCAAAGTCAAATACGGATGGAGCTTAAATCCGATGGACAAGATGTCAGCTACACTGAGTTCCTTGAAGCAAGATCTTTCCATAGACCTCTTGATCGTGATCTAATTCCTTTTGCTCCATCGGGAAAACGCATCGCAAAGCCAATAGTCACACACTGTTCTGGATTTATACTTAGCCCAGATTTGGACAGCTTCTGTAGTTACTTACCCAGAAGGAAACACTCATAACTTCTTGAATATAATCTTGATTCTATCTCTGTCAGCGGCTATGGATTCTTGACATTATGATTATTGCAATGACACCACATGCCACACTTGATTCTCTCTGATTCAACGGGAAATTGATCCTGAAAACCTCTACCTGAAACTATAATGTTTCTCAGATACTTTAGAAAAAACTGCGCTCTGAAAACTGTGACTATTCACCAATTTTAAACGTGATTTCCCGATTGATCTTACCTCTGATTTTGGATCAAAAAACTGTTATGAAAACTTCGGACGTGACGGGAAACGGATCACCAATTCCACCACTTGAATTATTTCCTTCTTTCACATATTCACACAAAAACTCAAAAGCTAACTTGATATATCTAATTCAAGCCGTTGTTTAATGGTGATGATCCGTGACATTCGCTTTCACTCCACCCTTGTACGTGATCAAAAACAAAACCATACGCTCCAACAACTCCGATCTCAACGTCAATGGTGATGGTGGCTTGGGATCAAGTTGATTTGATGTTCTTAGGTAAGTAATGAGTTGCTGGAGATGATGACGTGAGAAGGCTGCGGGAAGATGACGATATCAGCATATATACATACACATGTAACGAAACCTTATTATTTTGTGACTTGCTTCACTTGGGCTTCAATGGGCTCCATGGACGTTTGTTTTTAACAAAACAAATAGGGTGGGTTCAAGGGATTGGGTTTGGGGTGTTACAAAGTACCTCGTATTTTTCCTTCTGCCTCAGGTTGTCTCACGATACCTTCGACAGCTTGACCCGCAGTTGTACCTTGACTGACTCCAGGTTCAATAGAAGCAAGCCCAACAGCCAACCCGGCAACAATAACCGAAGCAGCAGAAACCAGTGGATTCATGATAAGTTCCTCACACGAAAATAAAGAAATAGTTAATGATACAATCATCCCTTAGGACGTAATTCTAATTAAGTAATCGCTAAGATTAATCCAGCCAAAAAAACACAAAAACTTTAATTGAAATATGAAATAATATAATAAAATTATTGAATCATAAGAATTACTTTGATAGTAGTTCCTATCCATGGGATTTTTAAAAATCCATAATATATATATATACGACTTGTTTATGCCATTTTTTTATGAACCATTCTTTGAATTCTTCCTTCTATTTTTATCATATTTTCAGCCAATTCACAGATAAAAAGAAGAACTTCTAATCGAATCCCTATCTAAATATAGAAATTCACAAAAATAGTAGAGCAGATTCGGATTATATAGATCTTTAACTAATATATATATCTAGGCAATATCAAATATCACATATACAAGTGTTTCTTACATAATGTAAACCAACTATTCTATAATTAATTGGGCTAACCTAAACAAGAATATTAAAAAAAAACCATTAATGATGATCTTCCATAGGCTCACCTATATAAGCCGCAGCTAAAGTGACAAAAATGAGAGCTTGAATCCCGCTTGTAAACAATCCAAGAAACATAACAGGTATAGGAACCACTAAAGGTACTAAAGAAACAAGAACAACAACGACTAATTCATCGGGTAATATATTTCCGAAAAGTCAAAAACTAAGTGATAGGGGTTTTGTAAAATCTTCTAAGATATTAATGTGTAAAAGAATTGGGGTTGGTTGAATGTATTTACTAAAATTCCCTAATCGTTTTTTGCTAAGCCCCGCATAAAAATAGGCTACTAATGTGAGTAAAGCTAAAACAACCGTCGTATTTATATCATTCATTGGTGCTACTAACTCCCCTTGAAATAACTGGATAATTTTCCAGTAAAAGGGCTCCTGACCAATTAGAAACAAAAATAGTAAAAACAGGGTTCCAATAAAGGGAACCCATGGACCATATTCTTCACCAATCTGGGTTTTACTTATGTCTCGAATGAATTCAAGGACAAATTCAAAGAAATTTTGGCCGTCAGTTGGAATTGTTTGTGGATTGTGAATCGCTAGAACTGCAGAACCTAATAAGATAGCAATTACAACCCAAGAATTACTAAGAACTTGGGCATGGACCCGGAAACCCCCTATTTGCCAGTAGAAATGTTGGCCTACTTCTACACCAAATATCTCATATAACCCTTCTTTAATTAGTGTGTTGATGGAACATGATAAAACATTCATATTGCCCTCTGACAGAAATAAGAACTTTAAATTATTTTGATTCAAGAACCCCCCCCCCCTTTTCGTTTTGGATCACA